CGAGGCGTACGGGAGGGAGGAGAGGGGGTGAGTGCCGCTGTCCCGTGCTGCAGACAGGGTACGTCTGCCTGCAGCCGCGCTGCCCCCACGGCTCTGCCCAGCATGGTGCTGTGCCAGGACTGGGACGTGATGGGGCCAAGCCATGCTGAGCTGGGACTGAGTGATGCTGAACTGGGTACTGGGAGGGAGCGATGCTGAGCTGGGGACTGGGAAGAAGCAATGCTGGGCTGGACCGGGGACTGGGAGGGGGTGATGCTGAGCCAGGAGAAGAGGGGCAACTGGGAGGGAGTGATGCTGGGCTGGGACAGGACAGGGACGGAGATGGGGACCAGCATGAGTCCCCCCATGCCAGGCTGGGGACTGGGATGGGGTGATGGTGGGCTGGAAGAGGACGGGCCAAGAAAGGGGCACGGGGTGCAGCAGCCCCCACCCCACTGCAGGAGGGCTCTGAGGCGCACGCGTGCCCGGGCAGGCAGGGTGCCTCAGGGGAGCACCTTACCCTGAGGATGGTCCTGGTATAGAAGTACCGCTCGTCCCCGTTGAAGAACAGAAAGTAGTATGTGAAGAGGAAGATGTTGATGCCCAGCCAGGCTGCCTGTGGGGGAAAGCCGCGGCTTCGTGAGGGACCCCAGCCTGGGACCCCACCCACCCTGCAGCACTCGGGTGTGGGTGCAGCCAGAGGGCATCAGGACAGTGCGTCTCCTCCTGCTTCCGTATGAGCTGCAGCAGCACGCACGGGGCTGGGACACGGGGCCAAAGGTGGGGAGAGGTGTGGGAGTCTTGCAAAATAACTGTCTTGTTACCCACGGCCCCGTGCACCACCCACGCACGAGGAAGGAGGAAAGGCAGGTGCCGGTGGAAGGGCAGATCCTGAGGGTGACTGGGGCTGAGTGGGGCTGCATGGGGAAGACTCTGGGAGGAGGAAATTTTGCAGGGAGCTGGCTCACCCAGCCCCACCATGCTGCTGCACCCTGCACTGGCCCCTCTCACAGACATCAATTTTTTGCAGAGCTCCCAAAACCACTCTGCCTTGCATTTGTTTTGGGTGGTTTGGTTTTTTTTACGTAATTTAAAAAATAAAAATAACCCAACTTTCTGCAAAACCCCGTTTTCCCATGCATTTTCAGCTCCTCACGCAGTGCTGAGCAGCTGGTGTGGTGCTGGCCGGGCAAGCCCTCTTACACCAGTGATGCCACAGCTTGGCACTGGCAGGTCGTCCTTTTGGTGTGAGCTCCTCGCCCTGGCGTGGGCTCTCGCGGGAGCCTCCTGCGGTCATGTGGGGAGAAGAGGCACGTGGGAGGCTCCCGGCCAAAGTGGCTGGGCAAAGGAGTGGTATTTTTAAATTTTGCAGCAGGACCCCCCTTTCCTTTGAGTTGTGTTTTCCCATCCCTCCCCTGGCCACCGGGGCTTTGCAGGTTGGCTGAGCAGAGGGGATGCTTGTCCCACCCTGCAGCCCAGCCCCAGGACAG